AATAGTAATAATATCCAAAATATTATCAGGGATGATGATGATGTTAATAATAATAATAATATTAATAGTAATATTAGTATTAATAGTAGTAACAATAACGTTATTGACAATAACGTCATTGTCAATATTAATGATGATACTGATGATTCAGGTGAATTAAGCGTCATTAGCGATGGTTTTGCTGTTGGCGGAGGTGATTCTAGTAGTGGTGGCGGCGATGATGGTGTCAATGGTGGTGTCAATAGTGGTGGTGATAACAGCAACATCTTTAACACGTTTAATAATGACGATGACAACGATGATGGTAAGAGAATAGGAAAAAGTAAAAGAACAACATCCGGAATTACGTTTGGAGCATCAATAATTTGATAAGAGAATATAATGTGGTCAATGTGGATAATGCGGATAATGCGGATGATTTGCGTTGGCGGAAAAGACAAGACTTTAATGAAAAAAATTATTTATTTATTTATTTATTTTAAATATTTGTATATATTAATATTTTCTTTTATTAGAATAAGCGTTATTTATTTCATTTATATTTATCTTTAATCATTTTTACCTTAATCATTTATTGTATTTAACAACTTATTTATTCATCGTCATTTCACAATGTAAATATTATTTTTTTTTTCAATTCCACGTGGTGATAATAAAAAATAATTTATATTAATATGGACGACTTTAAGCCTTTTTTTCTTCTTTGCGAACTTTATATTTATTGTAAAGCATTTCTAAAATGTCGACGACATGCATCACATAAATCTGTTCTTGTACTCATGTATTAAGTATCATGACTTGAATTTCCGGTGCTAATTAATATTAATATTAATATTTACGAAATGCGATGCACCAATCAATCATACTTGTCAATCTCAAATTATTTCCTTCTTTCCATACTGACAACATTTGCGACCCATTTCTGGGACCCGGTCGCTTTGCCGACAAGCATTGTGTTAACAATTTGCCAAGGATGTGTGAAGACCTGGATAACTCTATGTAGAAGCTAAAAGTTTGATTTTTTACAGACAAGTTAAATCAACTGTTGATCTTGCCCTACAAATCATTAACTAATACTAATAACAAAACTTATTATCCCTACTTTGCATCAACAACCAGTCCGTAAAAACACAATATAGGTACATGTGTAATATTTTTTTTGTCTGACGAAATTGATAAAAATTACATATTCGGACTTTAATTGTAAAATAATTAAATCTTTTCTCGCATTTGAATACTTTTTAAACATAATTTCTTGAATTTTTATGAAGAAAAAAAGAATAATGATTTGGAATGTTAAACTCACTCCCTTATTATATAAAAAACGCTGAAAATCCCAAATTGCCAAAATAGTTCAAGCAGTTTGGGCTAGAAACCTTACTTGATTGTCATGACCAACTTATATGTAAGTATTTAATAATAATAAACTTTATGTTATTTAAATGGTCAAAATTATATATTATGTGTATTCTTAACTGCTACATGGCATATTAAAAAATAATCAATAGTTTTTTTATTTACAAATTCAAATTTTTTTAATATAATCTAAAGTATTAATTATCATTCAGCAATAATAATAATTAGTATAAAAACTAATTGATGTAGCATGAAGACTAATCTGTTAATATTACTTTCCC